AGTTTTAAAAACACCTTCCTGCTGCTGCCGAATTCATTCTTTGTAATCAATGGTGAACTTGGTGCTCCTCAAATTATGATTAAGTTCGGCTATTGAGATCCTACTACCAGTTTTAAGCATATCATCTCCAAGCTCTATGTAATTTATTGGACCAGGTGTTCATTGGGACCTTATGTTGGACACTCATTCGTTGCTCAAATTTTGTTTTTTTTGCCCTCACATTAACATAGGAGTGGAAAGACTCGTTTTTCACTGTAAAGGTCGGGCGTAAGATGTTTCTGGATACACATATCATTGCTTCCTTGCTTCGAATTGCCAGAATTTTCTCCGGTTTTATACCTTGTAGCTGATCATTTTCATGGAGTGAATGCATAAATGCAAAGTTTTGTCTATTAAGTTTTTAATAATTGTATCTGTGTCAAGTCTTTTGCTTGTTATTCTGACAAGCAGTTTCCCTCGTGTATACTGAGTAATTGCAGAAAATCCCGTCAGTGACTTTTCGTCTTTGCCAAGCGAACTCTTATCAAGGGAAGAGCTACAAGAACAGTTACGGAAAAAGAGTGAGGAATTAATTGTACACCATCAAAAATTGACGATTTGGGAGGAAGGCTTGAAAAAAGCTCGCCAAGCCTGTGAAGTTTGGAGGAAAAACGCCGAATATTTTCGACAACTTGCAGAGAACGCAGAAAAGGAAAAATTAAGAGCTATTATGGAAAAAGATGAGGTATTTTTCTTCGGAGTTAAACTCTGAAAAACTTGGGATTTTTATTGATGTATTTTTATACCAAATTATTGTTAAATTTTCAGCTCTACTGTTACAAATTTACTTTCAGGCTTTGAGAGAAGTGGAAAAACTGAGACGCGAAATTTTGTCTAAGGGTGGCGATAACCAGTTGCCGCTTGAGATATCGACATTTACTTCATATAATTCATTTGCTTCGTATTCTCCTGTTAGTTTCCACATTTTTGAGTCAGGTCAGCTTGGGAAGTATGTGAAAAGGAGGAGGCAATACATTTTAAGCGGCTTTTCGTTTAATGATATCTTGAAATTGGCTGAATTTTCTGTAGCTTCAGCTTTTTATCAAGCAGGTTTAATTGCCATTCCGGTAAGAAATTTAAGATGTTTAGTTAGGTTGGATTATTTTTGATTGATTTAGTTGGAAAATGCTGATCAAACTGTGGACGGTCCAGTATGTGCACGTTGTGGCAGAGGGAAACGTTCAGATGCTAGGAACCCGCCTTGTCCGCTGTGTTGTAGCTAACAACTGATTTTAATAATTATTGTGGTGGATTCTTTGATCCACTCTCCTAGTAAATAATAATTGAAATTTTAAACTGTTGTTGTTACTTTAGATTTGACGGGACGTTTAACATTTCTCGGTGTTAAGCTTTATATTAGTCTGTTTAAATTCATATTCAATTACATTTTATGGAATAATCAGAGTTCCTTCACTTCAGGAAATTTTTCAGTTATTGCTTTTAACGTTTATGGCTTTGCCGTGATTGCTATGTTAATTTTACAATTCCAGTTTTCAGTTTTATTTTCTTAGAAAACTGTTAGCGTTCTAGATTTTATGCAATTGCTCTTAAATGTTTATTTCGAAAGATCTCTAAACAAGAACCGGTGTTTTGATACAAACAAGCAAACAAACAATGGATCAATCAAAAAAAAGTTGAGAAAAGGAAAAAAAGCGAGGTGGAAATATAAAATAAATAGTTCTTGGTTACAGTTAAGCCAGTAATTGAAAAATGTTGAGCATTAAACTGTGACACCAGTCTGTCTCATGCTAATTAATGCGTAACACTGTGGTGCCATTCCTATGTAGTCTTCTTCATAACTTTGACACATTGGTATATCGCGTTCGAGTAGGACGCAGTATCCCCGTCTCTAAAAAAGTAATTTATAAGTTGACGATCTTTGATGTAGAAATTTTGAAGACAGTGGATTATGTAATAAAGTTAATCAACTAAGAATTATGTAAGTATCTAAATTAAAAAATTTTAGGTAAAATTGTTCCTTACTGCTATTGGTGGTTTATTCACTAAAATCAATGGTATACATAATTTCATTTGTTACAGTTTCGTTTTGTTTGGTTTGGTTATCTGAGAGCATTTTGTTTCTGGCGCATGAGAGTATTAACGGTGTTTAGAAGGGTTCGTTTTACATTTTCAAAATTGTTCACATGGTAATATACAGTTGTCAAGAAGGTAGGAGAACTAGTTGGTATTACTTACATAAATATTATTATTAATATTACTATTATTGTTATCATTATTATTATTATTATTTATTATTATTGTTATTATTATTATTATTATTATTATTATTTTTATTATTTTTATTATTTTTAATAATAATAATAATTATTATTATTATTATTATTATTATTACTACTATTATTATTATTATTATTATTATTATTATTATTATTTTAATAATAATAATTATTATCATTAATATTATTATCATTATTACTACTGTTCCACCGTCAATTTCGAAACATAGTTATTAATTTTGGTCTTTCGCTTAGTCAACTTAGTTGTCTGTCGTAGCTTGGCTTTTATGGTTTCAAATTCTACTATTATTAGCTTCATTACTGTTATTATTATTATAGCTATTATTATTATTGTCATTATTATTATTAATATTAATAATA